ATATATATATACTCTGAGAGTATATGTAGTCTATAAGTATTTATGTATGTACGTATATATAACTAGATATATACACATGTGTATATATACACATATATACACATACACACTTATATAAGATATATATGTGTGTGTATATATGCTCATATATATAGGTGTGATGTGTATATATATACTTATATATGTATATACACTCTCAGAGTATGTAAAGCCCACAAGCACCAGTGTGTCAATAACCACCTTCCAGGTGTTTTTATGATGGAAACAGCCATAAAACATGATCATTTTGTTGATGTTATTATTCAACTTGTTGAGTCCACCTTCCCTATAGAAGATAAAAGGATAGAACACCAATTCCATCTGTGCAGTGTCTGCTGTAACACTGAAGTTTTAAGCTCTTTATTGAGTCATTTCACTATTGTTTTCATTCTGATGAAATTTGGGTGGACTGTCCCTTTCATATAACTAATTAAGGAGTAAGTCTTGTGATGCAGCTATACCTGGATGGGGATGGATGGGATGACCCCAATTTTAAGACATTTTTGTTTGTAACAAATAGATCAAACCACTCCTAAAGTAATCTAATCAGTTTGAGACTCCCAGAGCCTCTTTTGCAGCCACTGAACTGTACAATGGAGAGTAAATGGCCTTTGTTTCTGCAGGATGGATACTCCCAGCTATCAGCCTACGAAATGAAAAGGCTGAAGAACATTACAGAGAACGCTAAATTCTTTGCTGCTCTACAGCTGCACAAGGTATGTATAGACTCTAAATAGCACCAAAATGCTCTTTCCAAGTGTCATCCCTCCTGGTGTGAAGCCCTTCCCTCACCAGGGTAGAGGTGTGAGGAGAGCCGTGAATGACTTGAGTGAATTCCATGAGTCCCTGAATGTTTTGGATGGGAAAGAACCTTAAACCCTATCCAGTCCTACCCACTGCCTTGGGCAGGGACATCTTCCACCAGCCCAGGTTGCTCCAAGCCCCATCCAACCTGGCCTGGAACACTCCAGGGATGGAGCAGCCACAGCTCTCTCTATTACTGTTATAATTGCAATAGAGTTGATTGCAGCCTTGAGATATTTCTGGTTTATACAGATTAATCCTTTATGTTTGTTATATATATTTCATAATCTCTTTTTTTCCTCTTTAAGTCAGCTGCAAGACTTAAGCAAATTGCAACCAAAAGACAATCCCATGTCGTCAAAAGGTAAAAGAACAGTCTGCGAGATTTGTGCTCTGTTCCCTCACGCAGGGAGGGAACAGAGCACTTTACCTGCACAGTGAGCGTCTCCCTTCAAGCTCTGAATACCTGGCTGTCTGAAGCTGCATGGATTCATGAACATGCTTCTGCAGTTAGTGCCTCTCTGCCACCCTTTGGAAAGAAAATTATAGTATTAATAGATTTTTTTTTTGTCAAATAACAGAATTTGTTCTTTTTGAGATGTGTGTGTATATATATGTATACATCTCAACAAGAGCAAATACATATATATAAAGGTATTTCAAGCTCATTTCTTTATTTCTGATGATATTTTTGCGTTGGCTAAAGGAAGAAATGTTAAATGATGAAGGAAAATGTTGGGGAAGGGTGTGGGAAAGACAGATGGGGGAAAACTAGATGCACAAGGGAGAGGGTGAGAGTTAATGGAGAAGGAAAGACATTTGGCAGTGCCAGACCAGCACCAGGCCAAGCAGAAAATGAGCTGCAGCCCAAATAAAGGATAAGTGATGGGAGAAGGTGAGAAAGGACAGCTTGGTGCGTGAGTGGCAGGATGGATAATGAATGAGAAGGGCTGGGAAGAGAAGTGACAGTAGTGGATGTGTTACAAGGAGAATGAAGGTGCAAAGTGCTCATAGTGTTCCTTGCTGTCCCTGAGGGAGAAGCAACCACATCCCTCCTGCAGTGGGTCTGGATGTCACTCTGTGTCCCAGCTGTGCCCTGACCCTGCCCTGCGCTCTGTCCCCACGTGCTGTAGCTGAAATGCTTTCCTTGTTCCAGACCCAAGCCCAAGAAGGTGGAGGAGGAACCGGTCCGGCGGCGATCCATGCGCCTGCTCCGAGTGGAGCCCACAGGAATTCCTATGGTGGAGACACCTGCCCAGCCACAAGCAGAGAGAGATGTGAGATGGGGAAGGGGTGGAGGATGTGTGTGTGTATGTGTGTGTGTGTGTGTAGGAGCTCTGCAAAACCAGTGACACTGGTGGCACTGGGCATGGCTGGGTTTGGAGCCCTGAGGTGTTTGGGAGGTGGTGACATAGTGACAGTGATCAGAGGTCAGTTCTGTCACCTCAGGCGCTATGAATGGGAGGTGTCCATGACCTCTCTGCAGGCCAGGCAGTGCTCTGGGGCTCAGCCGGATGGCACAGTGCAGTTTAGGATGCTCAGAAGGGTCCTGAGGCCAAAGATTCTACGTTTTCCAACATCCCATGAAGTTGAGTGGCCTTGAATTCAAAGGTTTATTGCTCTGGGCTTTATTTCACTGTCACTTTTGATCTGGTTTATTTTCCTTGGAAATATTTACCACCTTGTGAAGCAGTGACAGAGCAACAGATGGAAGTTCTGTTGCTCTGAGAGATGGGAATTTAAATCTTCCATGGAGCTGTGGAATGGAGCTGAATCTGTAATAGAGGTCTTGGAGTATCAGGAGAGGGAGTTTGTGCTGTCAGGGCAATTAGGTTTTTAATAAGGTTTTGATACCAACTTTCTGCCTTTACTGTTGATTTCCTGTGTTGTCATGGATGTGTCCTCAGAATATCTGGTGTGGGGAAGGTACCGACTCACCCTGTTTGTGGTTTTGGTGGGTTTGAGTCACACCAATTGCCAATGTCATCCCAGTCCCAGGTGCCAGCTGGACCTTTGCCCATGGTTCCAGAGGATCAGGCAGAGAACAGCAAAGGGACAGAGGCCTTACTGAGCACGTGGATGAGGATAAGTGAGGTATTATTTGCTATAATTTGCTGTCTTTGGGTAAAGACACGTCCCTTGGGCTCTGGTTCTGATCAGTGTCTCCTCGCTGCAGCTGCATGCAGATGATGATGCTGTTAAGTGCACACCTGACATCACGAGGTAACCTGAAAACAGCAGCTGAAACTGGGGGTTGTCTGCTTCCCCTTCCTTCTCTAATGAATATTTTGGTGGTGCTTGGTGCCTGTGGCTTTCCAGGTACCGGGAGAGCCTGAGCAGCATGGTGCTGAGCGAGGAGAACATCAGGAAGGTGGTGAAATCCCGGGTGTGCTCCATGGCCATCCACCCCTCTGAAAGCACCATCCTGGTGGCAGCTGGAGACAAGTGGGGGAATGTTGGCCTCTGGAATGTGGTGAGTGAGTGGGTGCTGTGCCTGACCTGCACAAGTGTGTGGTGCAGGATGGGTGCAGAACTTGGTCCACAACGGCCTGTTTACTTAAAATAATAGAGCTTGAGTGATGCCCAGGTTAGAAGAGAAGACACAGGAGATTCAGCTCTACATTCAGTTTGGGTCACTCTGATTTAGCTGGAGCTCTCAGTGGCCCACTGTGTCCATACTGTGATGTAAAAGGCACATGTGGTAACACAAACCAGTTCTCTGGTACTGCTCTCCAGGTCAGGACTCTGCAGGGACACCAATTGTAGGAAGTTGCAGCTTTCCCTAGTTAGGGACCAGAAGCAGCCTTACTGCCCATGTTACCTGTGCTAGTGCCTCCTCTCATCCAGCACCCTCTGCTTCCTCAAAAAACATTCAAAAACCAGAGACCTGACTTTGAAAGCTGCAGTAATTGATAGAAATGACTGAAGTGATCAGCATCTGTCTCTGTGGAACCTCTTGTTTTGCAGAGCTGCAGGTCTGAGGAAGGAGCCCACATGTTCACCCCCCACAATTTCCCAGTCTGCTGCATGCACTTCTCTCCCTGCAATCCTGCCCACCTGCTGTCCCTCAGCAATGACACTCTGCGCTGTGGCGATGTCACCAGGGCTGTCTTTGATGAGGTGAGTACTACCTCCTCGGAGATCTCTCCGTGGGCACTGCTGGGAAGGTTTACTCTCCTTGTACCAAGTTGTTATTAGGTTGTTTTATTAATAAGAAAGCTCAAGGTTCTGTTTCCACAAGGACACATGAATTTACCTTTTATTAACATCACAGAATTAGGAAGATGCTTCCTACTCACGGAAACATAGTCCCAGCCTGGGTTCTCCCAGTTTCCTTCCTGCAGGGACAGCTGCAATTGCTGGATTTAACTTCCTCTCTGTCATCAGCAATGTTTCTCCTCTCAAGGCTTTGCCTTTAGGTGGTGACAGAGCGATTGAAAGAACTAAGAACAAACCCCACAAAACCAGCATTGTAAAACAACACAGACCATGAGCTGCCTTTGCATTGCTCAGCCTCCCAGAGACAGGACACTGTGCCTGTCTCTGCACCCTCACCCAGCTGGGTGTGCTGGGTTCTGACAGACACAGCTGCATTGAGCAGCTCCAGTGCTGGGAATGTAATAACCTACTGCAGCTTAAACCTTTTTTATTCCCCACCCCTTCCAGGCACTCTGATTTTGGCAGGGCTACAGGCAGGCAGGTGTTTGGGCAGTACCTGAGTGGTCACTCGGGAGGGACCAGGGGGTTGTTGATTGAGTCAGATGCTTGCAAGATGATGTCTTGAGAGGTCAGGGGGAGAGAAACTTGTTCGGTTTGCCATATGCAAAGTGGGATCCAGCCTTGGGATACGTGGATACGTGTAGGATTATCAGTGCTGTGGAACCAGCACACCTGGGGAGAGCTGAGGTTCCTGCAGCACCACTATACTTGTGCTAATTGCTTTTGTGAGAGCATCCCCAGGGAATAGGATGGGGTGACATCCTGCTCTGATCCCCCAAACTATAGGGAGCCAAGTTCACATTTCTGCACCTAATTAAAGGTTTCTGCAGCACTGGAGAAGGGAAAGGTGTCCTTAACCCTCATTCTGTGTGTGCTGGAGGCCAAGAGCCCTTGGATTGCTGAGCAGGAGCTCTGGCAGGGAATTCACTGTGCTGCTCCTGTCTAGTTTGGATGGTTAATTATCCCCTAATTATTTCCCCTGTGGAAAGCATACCTGTTCCACAGAAGGGGGATGTGCATGCCTAGCTGAGTCTGGAGCTGTCACATCACACAGGATTCACTATGTTTTTAGTGAACTAGAAGGGAAAGGATGAAATCTGCAGCCCAGGAGGTGTTTGGGTGCTAGGAGCAACTCAGTGTGTCCTTGAGTAGTTCTGGTACCATTCAACCTTCCCTTCAGATCTGCAGGAGTGAGGACAACTTCTCCTCCTTCGACTTCCTGGAGGACAATGCCTGCACAGCCATTGTGGGACACTGGGATGGGGCTGTGGCTGTGGTGGACAGACGGACGCAGGCAATGGCCCCGGAGCTGTCTGTGGACATCGGCTTCAGGCGCACACGGACAGTCCACGTGCACCCTCTGAGCAAACAGTACTTTCTGGCTGCTGGAGCAGTGTATGTGGCTCAGCACAACTGCAGGGACTGGTTTGGTTGCTCTGGGTGCCTGGGCTGGGTCTGGGGGGCGCACTGGGAGGGCAGGAGAGAATGAGGATGAGCAATTCGTCAGCCTCAATGGTCAAAGCTGTCTTGATCTCTTTAGAAAACATGTTTTCAGTCCTTAGCAGGTTTTTAAGTGGGATTTGCTTTGATGTCCTAATCACCTTTTAGAAATGGGGACACAGGGGCCCTGGTGGGCCTTGGCAGACAGAGAGGTTGCAATGAGCTGCTCTTTGGGGTAGGTTTGGTGCTCCCAAAATCTCTTGGAGCCACCATTTGCGTGAATGTTGAGCTCTGCACCAGTTCTGTCTTCCATGGCTCTGGAGCATTTTGGTGAATGATGGGTCAGTACTTGGTGTCCATTTGTGAGGGTCTGTGTGGTGCCTGTTGCAGGGATGTTTGTGTTTTCGACATTCGACACCTGAAGAGCAAGCAGAATGAGCCTGTGAGCTCCCTCAAAGGACACATCAAGAGTGTGGCCTCAGCCTATTTCTCACCTGTCACCGGGAGCAAGGTGGTGACAGTGAGTGCTGATGACAAGCTGAGGTAAGGCAGGCTGGGAGGAAGGAATGTTCATGCAAAATATCAACTGCTTGAGAATATTATTGTTACTATCATCCTATCGGTGTTATTATCATTATTATCATCATTAGAAGTAGTACCTCTCTGCATTACCTGTCATTGAGAACTTTATCACTTTCCAAAAAGTGATAAATATTTACTGGCATTAATATTTTTAATTATTATTTTTGTTTGGGTTTTTTTTTCCCCTAATTCTCATTTTCTGGAATGATATTTAACAAAGAACAGTAAAACACACAGACACTGTTAATCCTGAAAAACCAAACAAAAGCCATGAAACCACCAAGCAAAAACCAGCCCAAACCTGATGATGAGCATGAACTCAGAGTGCTCAGAAACTGGATTTATTTTTAGCTGCTGGTGCTTCATACGATGACAATATCAGCTCTTTTGTAACTAGCCTACTGTTTCATAATTTAAACTGCTGGGAGTTGCTTGTAGTAGAGGTTTTTTTTTCTCCTGGGTAGCTTTGTGCCCATAATTTAGGTAATTGCCTGATTTAGCTCTGACCTCAGCAGTGTTTTTGCCCTGGGGGTGAGCGGTAACGGTTCATGGGGTGAAGGAGTGGGCAGGATGCTGTGCTGGTGTCTGGGCTCCTCCAGCAGTGTCACCACCGGTGACTGCAGCTCTGGCTGAAAGCAAATACAATTCTCAAAGCACAATGAGTAATTTCAGCTGGGGTGTGGGTGCCTGTTTGTGAGGGAAGGGCTATAGTACATGTACCTTGTGTGAACGTGCTGGTTTGTGTTCCAGGATCTACGACACCACATCCTTGTCATCCACTGTCACAGCCCTCAGCGTCATCAGGTAAGAGAGCACACCTGGGCCGAGGGCAGTGCACTGTGGCTGCTCCCAACATAGAGTATGGCTTCTCACTGCCAGAGGGCAGGGACAGGTGGGATGTTGGGAAGGAGTTGTTTCCTGTGAGGTGCTGAGACACTGGCACAGGTTGCCCAGAGCAGCTGTGGCTGCTCCATCCCTGGGAGTGTTCCAGACCAAGTTGGATGGGGCTTGGATCAACCCAGGCTAGTGGAAGGTGTCCCTACCCCAACGAGTAGGACAAGATAGGCTTTAAGGCCCTTCCAACACAAACTATCCATGATTCTTGTCCCATCCTGCCCATCCCAGGGCAGGGATCCACTACAGGGATCTGAGCTGGATGATCCCAGTGCTGGGAGTCTAGAAGGTGAGGGAGCAAATAGGACATAAATAGGGAGCAAATAGGACATAAATGACAATTTAAAATCCTGGATTCACTCAGAGGGATGTTTCTCTTCTCCTTCCACTGCAGACACAACAGCAACACAGGGCGCTGGCTGACCCGCTTCAGGGCCATCTGGGACCCCAAGCAGGAGCACTGCTTTGTGGTGGGCAGCATGGCACAGCCCAGGAGGATCGAGGTCTTCCAGGACACCGGGAAGTTGCTGCACAGCTTCTACAACCTGGAGTGCCTCAGCTCCGTGTGCTCCATCAACGTGGTCCACCCCAGGCAGAATATACTGGTGGGAGGCAACTCCAGTGGTCGCCTCCATGTCTTCAAAGAGTAACAAATTGCCTTAGATGTATTATTTTCTTCCTTGCTGCCTTAACTTTCTTTAGTCTGTGCTGAGCAGTTAGGAGCTGACTGGTTTCTCAGGACAGACGTGTACTTTAAAAGCCTTAAAATAAATCCTTTAAACTGCCTTTGGCACCTGTGTATTCAGTGGAATCCTGATGGGACAGCAGGATTTGGGTGAAATAGATATACCTAAAATTGAATTAGTTTTTTTAAAAAAGGAGGAAAAACATGGGATCAGCACTTGCAAAATGGATGAGGAACCTGTTAATGATTTCCATGAGAAGCTGGAGTTGTGTGTCCATCACCTGAAGTGTTCAGTGTCCCTGTCTCCAGGAGGATTTGTGCCTTGAGCTGTCTGAGGTGTGATTAAATCCTTCCTGGGACTGGAGGGAGCTTGGTGTGAGCTGATGCCATGGGGCATCTCCATGGGATGAAGCCTCTGTGCCCTTGGGTTGTGTAGCCTGTGCTGTACCCAAACAAAATAGGTCCAAGGTCACTGAGTCCCACCATTTCCCAGCACTGTTCACCCCGACCATGTCCCCAAGTGCCATATCCACATGGCTGTTAAATCCCTCCAGGGATGGAGACTCCACCGCTGCTCTGGGCAGCTGTACCAGGGCTGGACAGCCCTTTTGGGGAAGAAATTTTCCCCAATATCCATCCAAAACCTTTCCTGGTACAACTTAAAACCATTTCCTCTTGTCCAGTCACTTGGGAGCAGAGCCTGGCCACCTGGCTGCACCTCCTGGCAGGGAGTTGTCCAGACCAGAAGGTTCCCCCGACTCCTTTTTCTCCAGGCTGAGCCTCCCCAGCTCCCTGAGCTGCTGCTGCTGCTCCAAACCCTTCCCAGCTCCATTCCCTTCCCTGGTCACACTCAGCCCCTCAATGTCTTGTCATGAGGGGCCCAAAACTCCATGTGCATTTGTAAAATGGTGTTCAAACAGTGCAGGGATGTGTAAAGGGACACACACTGCAGCAGAACTCCCATGGCATGAGGCTGCTCCTCACTCCAATAAGGAGCTGCTAAAAGACCAAATTCCTCACAGTTCTGAGCTGTTTTCACTCCAGTAAAGAAAAAAATCAGACCCACAGAACAAAGCAGGTTCCAACTATGCTTTTCATGATATTTAAATATTTATTTAAATTTAAAAATACTTTTCATGGCACCAATGATTTTATGCTAACTAAGGTATTGGATATGTAGAAAAAGGTACATTTCGAAGGAAAAAAAGTAACTTACAGTATTTGGCACATGAAAGGTTAATTTCTAGATTTTCTCCTTTATGAAAACTAAGAAATTCACATTTTCAGGTATTTTACCATCTACTGCTCAGAGATGCAGTATGCTAGGACAAGATTGATGGGTTTCTGATCAGAACCTATGGGACAACATCTTGATAGAAAGACAGGTAAAACTAACAGGGTGAGGAACACGAGACAGAGTCCGGGACAGAGGGGGAAACGTACAACAGAAATCACCAGTTCCCGTGGGTTTGCAGTAAAACACTGGGTGACAACTGCAGAGGTGACCTGGGGCTACACAAGCGTTACCCAAGGGAAGCCGAGGTGGAACATCCAGGTGGGGACCGGGAGATGTGTCCGAAGAGGATGGAGCACGGGATGGAGCTGTGCTGGCACACATCACACATAACATTGCAGGGAGGAGGAGGAGGAAAAGGAGGAGGGAGGACACTGCAGTGTAAACCTGGGGTGAAAAACTTCAGCGTCGGGACAAGCACAACTGCATAGAAACACCAGCGCTAGGGGCTGAGGTAGGAACACTACGCTAAGAGTTAATTCTGCTATGTTGCATAAAACAGGATTATCATGTTTAAAAAAATCGCTCCTCCTCCTCCTGCAGCCTTCCCAGAGGGCTTCCAAAGCCTTCCAGGGAGGCTCCTGCCTGCTCCGGCCCCAGGGCTGGGCCCTGGGCCTCCTCAGGCTCACGCTGTGCCGTGGCTGTGACTGGGGCAGGGGCTGTGCCCCAACAGCCAGCATGAAACAGGACCTCTCCCTTATTGCAGTGCCCATGATCCTGGTCTGTTGCGGTGTTGGGTCACCCCACGGCACTGTCCCACTCCGCAGTGGGTGGTGGATGCTCAGCGACAACACGGACATCAGGCTTGGTAGAACTGCAGTTATGGCCCCAGCTTACAGTAAATCTCTCCCTGAGATGAAATTAAACTTGCTCACCTGTTTTCACCTTTTATTTTTTGCTAGTATGTCCAACTTCTCACTCAAAGCTAACCAGAACCGGCTGTTATTGCTCCCTGTGGATGGGCTGCTGCTCCTGGTGACCGACAGTCCTGGGGGTCATCACCAGTACAATGAGTTGAGTTTATTGAGTTTTGCTTCAGAAAAGATGGGGCTGATGGTGTCCGTTGGCGTCTTCAGTGTCATCCGTGCTCCTCAACTTCTGTCCCCTTCAGAAGTGTCCAAACCCAGAGCTCCTGCTCTGCCCCAAACTCAGAGCTCCTCTGTCCCAAACCCGGCAGGGCTCAGTTGGCTCTTAGCTTATGGAAGTTTACTCCATATCCTCACTGGGAACTGCTCGGTACCAGTGCCCACGGTCACCCCATCCGTAAAGTAAAAAAAGACTCGATTAGATTCAATAACAAAATAGCATCTCCTTGTTAAAATAGACCTTGAAAGGACTCTTTTTTTTTTTTTTTGTTCTTTTTTGCGGTTGTATTTTTTTTACAAAACAGGTACAACTGGTGGAGGGTAAAGGTCTTCCCAATGGACCTGACACAGTCACTACGGCTCTGCACCAGGCTTGGCCGCTCGTGCCCGGTGTCCCCAGGCTGCCCATGCTTCCCTGCCCTCGGGAGCACTAGCGCTTCAAGGCTTAAGAAGGTGGCGAAGGGCTGAGTCCACAGCGGGGCGAGGGCTCCGGGTGGCTGTACCGTGGCGCGTGGGGGGACCGGGCCGTCCCCGGTGCGTCACCTCCCGGGGGGCTCCGGTGAGCGGGGAGGGCTCTGCCAAGCGGATCGTGGAGGGCACAGTGCGGATTTCATACCGTAACAGTACACGAGTGTTAAGTTAAACCTCAGTAGCACCAT